GATATTAGAGAAGCACAAAGAGAGGGACTTGGACAACCTTTGATACATCTATTGCACAATCCAAAGCAATCTAAACCCAAATGAATAAACATCAAATGTCACCCTTACAAATCTCTTTCATAAAAAACATAACATAGATTCAATCAAAACGCTAATAACTCAAACACACAATCTTCGTCACAGAATCTCAATCAAAATAACCTTTTAAAATATATTCAATCAAAACCATATAAAACTCTTTCAAAAAAACCCAATTTCATATTTCAATTCAAAAACCCTATTTCATGAAAGGAAAACCAATTTAAAAACCTTAACATTCAATTTCTTACTAAATAATTTTCAATTACTATCAAAAAATTCAACAACTAAAATTAGCCTACAAATTTTATAAAATGAACATTCAACATCCATTCAATGAAATTATCAAAAACCCTAACATCCAAAAAAAATAAAAATCTTATTGAATGAACTTAACACGTAAACTTCAATTGACACACAATCTTAATCTAAATAACCATAACATACATCAAATCAAGACCTTATAAACATATTTCATATCAATTAATACACAATCTTTGAAATTATGAAAGTAAAATCAATTAACACACAATGTTAATCTCAATAACCCAAACATTCATCAAATCAAGACCCTATACACCTATTTCATAATTAAAAAAAAAAACCCAATTTGAAATTTCTAAACCTTATTTAACACCAAAATTAAAAACCCAATTTGAAAAAAAATTAGTCAACAAATTTTCCAAAATGAACCCTCAATAACCATCAACTCAACATCCATTCCATGCGATTAACAAAAACCCTAACATCCAAAAACCCTACAAATCTTATTGAATGAAATTAACACATAACATTCAATTAACACACAATCTTAATCTAAATAACCCTAACATACATCAAATGAAGACCCTATAAGTCTATTTCACACTAATTGACACACAATCTCTAAAATTGTGGAAGTAAAATAAATTAATACACAATCTTAATCTAAATAACTCTTAACATTCATCCAATCAGGACACTATAAACCTATTTCATAATTTAAAAAAAAAAACCAATTTGAAATTTCACAATCTCTATTCAACACCCAAATTAAACACACAATTTGAAAACCCTAACATTCAAAAATCCAAATTAATTTGCGTGTGTGCGTGCTGCTGTGGGATGTGTGTGTGGTCTGTTTGTCTCTCTGTGTGTTTTGTGTTGTGTGTGCGTTATCTGTGTGCCCGTGTTGTGGGTTTCTGCGTGATCTGTGTGTTTTGTGTTGTGGGTTTGTTTGTGTGTGTGTGTGTGTGTGTGAAGAAAGAGAGGTGAGAGAGACATAGAGAGAGAGTAGCTAACCTGTAATGTGTGGTCGTCGCCGGTGAGCCAAGGCAGATATTTTAGTAAGTATGGAGAGAGAGAGAGAGAGCAGGGTGTGGAGAGGTACAGAAGTCGCAACGGGTGTGGAGACGGAGAGACAGGTGAAGAGATAGAGGGGCTCTGACAGTGGGGTGGGGGGACGTGCATGTGGTTTAAGATTTGGGCGGGATTTGTTTTTTGTTGGATTAAAAGTAGATGAATTTACGAGTAATTAGATTAAATTAGATGAAATATAAATCGTTAAAATTAAAATAGATCAAATTTAAACTGTCTTTGTGGTAAAGTAATTTAGGGATTCAAAAATTACTCTATCTTATTATTATAATAGATTACACAATCTGAATATATGACTGTCATTTATTATTTGGTCAATTTTTTTAATAAAAAAATATATTTTTTTGTCCCCCAAGCTAATATTGTGACAATTGATAATTGGGCACCAAATTTTTTTTACAATTGTCAACCCTTTTAATTTTGAACAATGCTTTTGAAACCTTATTTATTGATCTAATTTGTTGATTTAATTCACTATAACTTTTGGATTGACTGTGGGGTCTATCAAATATTAAAACTTGGTGTTAATCAAATAATTCTACTGAAACTACATTATTATATTAATAAATTAGATTAAAATTTAAGTTCAAAAAACATTACTCTTTTATTTTTAAGAATTAAATTTTCTATGTGAAGGAATAAACCCATTTGCCTTAAAATCTCATGGAAAACATGTATAACAGTAAAAAAAAATTTGTAAAGATACCAATCTCCTACTGATTTTATATTTTTCTTTTTCCCTATACCATATAAGATTCATGTACCCATTAATTTTTTTTTCAATTTTTCGTCAATTTAGGATTTACTCATATTTGATAATAACATGATCAAAGTTTAGATATGGCCCTACATTCAAATTGGATGTGAAAATTCTTAACATGATCAGTCAAATTTGTAGTGAAAATACCATATATTTATTAGTTTTATTGGATTTGGGTCACAAGCGAGTTAACCCGTTAAACTTTTTTGATAAATAAATTGATACAAATTTAATTGTATAGGACATTAACTTAATTAAACATGATTTATGTTTATATACTATACACTCTGATTTTATATTCTTCACACACAAATACCAACTTCAAGTTAAAAGTTACTATTAAAAGATATAGTAGGGGCACAACCAACATATCATTCAATGTTTACCATAGAGTGCTTATTGGATCCAACGAAAGTCCTTAAGTTGAATATCATCATGACAACAAAATTGACAATATCTTCTGCAGAAATGAGACCCAAATTTGTATAGGTTTTTCCTTCTTTGAGAACAATGACTCTCATTCTATTTCCTATGCAGGAATAATGACTGTGAGTGTGGAGTGAGAGATACAAGCTAGCTAGGGAAAGAAGATAAAAACAGTAATAATAGTCTAGGGTTGATGTCAAAAATATTGTGGAAGACAGGAAGCTGTCTCAAACTACTGTTGCTAATTTATAACTCCAAGGACAAAAATATAATTGTATTCCACACCATTCTTTTTCCCATCCTTGCTTTTAAGAAGGGTATGTTTGTCATTTCATTTGGTAATGGAGGTACCTCCCTCCCTCCCTCCACTGCAGTGCACCATCTCATATGAGTAAATATATATAACCTGCTGCAGTTTCTACTACAACTCCGGCACTTTTTTTTACAGTTGTGAAGATTTATTGTAAACCAGGTAAAGCCGCCACCTTAAATTACTTATATTTTCTTAAGAAGTATTTTTTTGATCTCATAATTATCCTAAACATTACCTTAAGAAGTATTTTTTGGATCTCATAGTTATCCTAAACATTACCTTAGTCACTACAAATATTATCCGACTGAATATAAAGCTATCAAGCTAAAAAATGCACAAATAAATGTTGTCTGGAGCAGTTACCAAAATTAAAATAAATCATTGTATTGATTACAAAAAAACTATATTCCACTTTATGTTTTTTTGATCAACCTCAAAACGATATAAATATCCAGACCTACTTCTTGTTTCAGTTTTGACTATATTGTCCATTTTTTTTGAATTTTCTAAAGAAACTCAATTCAACCAAGACCCATATGAATTCTTTCACTTGTCGTACACCAGAACCCCAATGCTAAAACATCTGTAGTCTATAAACTTAACTAAATAGTAATGGCAGAGAATAAATTTTTTTCTAAACATCAAAAAATTAGATACAACAAAATTTTATGGCCACTTAAAAGGTGAAAGGATTACCACATTAGGAATTAGCCAGCTCATGGCTTGGGTTCAAATGATATCAAAGAAGACAGCAAAAATCCATGCATGAACATTGGCCGTTGACAAATTTGTGCAGGCACTCACTATCTCGAATGATGATTCCCTTTCAATTAAAATGGAGATGAATTTCATAAAATTATGGCATAATACTCTTAATAATCCATATAGGGGCAGCATTTGGAGTGTTCAACAAACCAAACGCAAGAGCCAACTTTTCACTATGATGAACAGTGAATAAAGTTATTTCTACATTCTCCTCATTCATTACCTCTAAACTTCCATGTGGTTCATATCCAAGAGTCCTTGCTTTCTCAAGCAAATTCCCCAATAATTTGTCCACCCTTTTGCATTGTGTATGCAACCGCTCATCAGGCTTAACTGAATAAACCTCATCTCTAATGCTAATCCATTAATTTTCAGAGTTTTTCCCCTCTCATCATTTTTTATAACCCTTGAAAATTCCTGGCATCCATCTCCCTGCCAAGTGGTACATCTTTAACAGCAATAGATAAGTTTCTTAGTCTTTTGGTTTAAGACCGAGTAATCATTCAGCTGCATACAATCCTAACTCTGAATTCCCATGACTCCGACAACTTGCAATGAAGGTTTGCACATATAAACTTACTGGGCTCAAAATTCATCTTCTGGATGAAATCAAAAGCTTCATCTAATCGGCCTCACCCAAATGAACATATCAACCAGACACAAATAATGATCAATCACTGGCTTGATTCTATGTTCCTTTTTCATCATCTCAAAATAAGCCAATCCCTATCAATCATCCCAGCATTGGTACAAGCTGAAAGAACACCCACAATAGGTAATCTCGTTTGGTCTAACTCCTGTCAATCTCTTGAACAAAATACAATATTTGTATTCATCAATATCACATTTACACTGGGGCCCACTGAGCTAGTCCAAGGTGACCCTGGGCTTGCATAAAGCACAAACCCCAAGCTTCAGTTCAGTGCAGCCGCAACCCAGATATCAAATACACATCACACAAGTGGTTGCCAACAAATAATTCCTGGGTTAGAAAGATTGGACACATTTCCCAATGAAATGACTACTAAAAGTACCTTCTAATAGCAATGCAAAACCAGTAAATTCAATCTTGTTTGTCGAGTTTATAGATACGTGTTGATGTTCAAAATTCTCAACCACCAATTTGAGTTTCCACATACACGTTCATAAAGTTACGTGACATGACTAGCAAAACATGAAATACAAGAAAAAAAAAACAAGCCTCGTACAAGGAAAAAAGAGAATCCTATTGACAAAGCTCAGTTGTTGAAAAGTTCTCATTTCTAGATTCAGTTGAACTTCCCAAGTTCCTGCTTAACGCATTCAACAACTGAGCTTGGCCTTATCCTCGTCAAAAGAAGCAAGGTCTGCAAGTGGATGTGCCTCCTGTAATGACACGGTTACAGATTACAACCACAATTATGAGGCAATTACGAGTGATTATTGTAATTGGTTAGAACGTAAGAAAAGAGGGCACCCTCAACTGTCTTCTGTAATGACATCATTGATTGTTCAAGCCACTATTAGGAAGCAATTATAAAAGATGATCGCAATTAGTGAGAACTTACGATTTTCTTCTTGAATTTGGCTAAAGAGTGGGCAACCTTCAGAAATTCTAGTATATCGGTGGAGCTCAACTGCGGCTGCAAAGCAAAACGACAAGAAATACATGTAAGTGAAATAAAGAACAATGCTACAGGACCTAATTTGGACCTAATTCAATGCAACCATTAGATTAGTTGTGAGTTCCAATGTCAGGTGAAATCCACTTTCAATTCAATGGTTATATTGAATTACGTCTCCAAATTAGGGTTGAAATAGCATTTTCCATGAAATAAGAAACACTTTTCAAAGGCCCTTTACTGATTTAAAATAAGAAACAAGTGCTTACTGTTTGTTCTTCCTCCACCCTGAAATTTAGATAACAAGATAATAAAACTGATCAGGATTAAAAGTAGGATTAAAAGTAGAACAACCATTGCCTTCTCCACCCTGAAATTTAGATAAGAAGATAATAAACTGATCAGGATTAAAAGTAGAACCACCATTGCATTCTCCAAACGAAAATTATGGGATTTTTCTCCCGAAATGAAACTAATGCATGCAGTTATCTCAAGGAGATATGCAAGTTCAACATGTGGAATAAATGTGGGAACAAAAGAAAAATGTTCGGACAATTCGATCTCAGTTGTGCTTTCCAAAGCAGAATTTGTTTCCTTTTATTTGACCTATGTAGGAGAATAATAGAGTTTATGAATTTTATGTAGAATAATACAGGGCACTTATTCCTAGACAAGTAAATTCGTGTAAGTTTAGCAAGCATGTTTTTCCTTAACTACAAGATAATCCAACTGATACCTAGTCACCCTCAGTCTAGTGGAATTATTTTCCCTTGGACCTTAAGTAGGCAAGGATATTAAATGAAAGCAATTCAAAGTCATCATGCAATCAGGTCATCCATTTTCCTCCAATCTTTTTGTTTAACAAGCTGTAAGGTCCAATTATTCAAGGAAGGATATCAAATGCCCAAAGATAGAAATTTAAAAACGAACCTATTTCTCAAAACAAGTTCAAATTGAACATGGGCCTCGTGTAATTTAAAATAAAAGGTTTGGTCAGTTCATTGAAAGTACTTTCATCCCAAAGACAAAAAAATTAAGTCAGCAGGAAAAGGGAAGGCTGGTAAATGTGGTCACTGGAGATGAGTTAAAGAGGGTGGTCAAAATTTGGTGCCCTGTTTCATGTTTTAGGTCTACAAAATTTTTGAAATAGTAAGTGGTATTTGAATTTTTCATTTTTTTGTAGTAACATGGATAACGAAGGTATAGTACTGGAAACATTCTGTGTACTAAAAAAAGTAATATAAATGATTGTTCAACTATAAGAAACTATAATACTTGTGAACGATTTGCAGGGTTTGATACATGAAAAAGCAACTCAGATAAGCAGAATTTTATGCCCAAGATGTCTATGAAATGAAAATCCATGTCCTTGTGAAGCCTTTTGCTGCTAGATGAAATTATTCTCATGTATTCAATATGTGATATTATGAGATCTACGCAGATTAAACATGTGTTCTGCCTGATGTCAATGAATGAAAAGTTATCTCATTGAAAAATTAATGTAAAGTTGGTACTGGAAGATTCAATATGAATGATTGTTCAACTATATGAAACTATTCCTAAAGTTCTTCACCTGAGTTGGTTAGACTCCTGAAGTTTGAGTCTGCCACATTCTAAAGCACGGAGAAAATGATTCATGGTCATTTTGACAGGCCTCACTGGGTGTAAGGTCACATGTTCATCATTAGCATACGACAGTGAACGTGTCACAAGGGATGCAAGTGCAGCACCACTATATCCAATGGTCCTGCGAGCTGTATGCAAGAACCGAGACATTATATATATTGAACAGTGATGGACAGTTTTCATTAGTGAACGAGGTTCTGTACAACAAAATCTAGATCAACAATTTCTTGTAGATACCTATTTCTTGTAGATCAACATCTATATCAAGGAGAGAAGCTTGTTTCCATTTCCTTGTGCAAACATCCAAAATTTGCTTGCGCCCTTGCTCATCAGGATAGTCAATCTTGATATGGAGTTCGATTCTACCATCCCTAGGAATAAAAATAAACAAAATTAAAGGAATGATGGAGCCTTTTTCGTCTTTTTGGGTATATTTGTTTTGTTGGGCCTGGGGGTGGAGGATTATGAGCAATTATAATGAACCAAGTTAGTGATTATTTATAAACAACGTAATTGATCAGTCAAATGATAATTATTTGTTTAGGTGATTTTTGAAGAAAAGGTAACATGCATATACGTTAAGTGGGTAAAGAGTGACAACTAAACTTATTTGACTTTTCATCATTAACTTTGAAGCAACTTTGTTTATGTAGGATTATAACTAAGTACAATTCCAAATTTCAATACAAATAATCTACTAGGGGATCCTACCTTGGATAAATGAAAGAGGCTAAAAGGATTGAGATCGTAAGATCAGATTGAGAATCCTGTGACCTTACATACTGAAAAATGGAACTAAAAATATATTTACGAACACAAAATTCTTAGAAACCAAGACAAAATAAACCTAGTATATATGCAAAATGTAGAGATGTTAAGACAAACATATAGAACTTAGAAGTACGGTTAAAATTTGAGCAACTATAATCTGAGTATTAAAGAGCATTGAAAATAAAAAAATGAGTAGTTAATCTTGTGGGATTCTGTAAAGAGTAAATGAGAATTGGAGTATTTCGATCTAAGCATGCAGAGAGAGATGAGGATAAAGGAGAGATTGGTAAAGTCAAGCGACTCTTGAATAAACAATTTTTACGGTTCGATATCGAATAAATAACAATGAGAATAATAATCGAAGACATATCTAGTCATAATCACTCGTCGAAAGAAAAGAGAACAAAGCTAACTGTTGGTTTCAATGAGGGAGACAAACGACCGAAGAGCATTTTCTGTGATGAAATTACCTAATGGACTGAAAAGAGTGTAGGACAATCACTAATATATGGATTGCTAAACATAAATGACTACAATTGCCTAAGAAACAAATCTGACAACTTGTGTTTATAAAAAATAGTAATTTGGATTGGAATCACTAAGATTCAATGAGCCAAGACCTTTAGAGACTCAGATGGCTTTGCCAGTATTGGATGGTAGAATCATGACATCCTAAATCATGATTTTGAAAATCATGTTTTAAGTCAATATTGTATTTCCTTATGAACTAAAAATTATCTGGTGCAAACCAGAAGGTTAAAATGATGCTTGCAGAAACAATTAAAAANCCACGAAAATTTAACCACAGTATCCTAACATCTAAAAGTGACTGGCATTATACGCAGAGGAAAACAACAATAACAGTTAATGCATTATGGAGGGAAATGAACTACAGAATTTTCANACAGTAGACAGCAATATTCTTGATTAAGCAAAGAGAAGCAAATGATAAATACTATCTGATAATAATCACAAGAAGGTATATAGAAAAGAAAAACAAATCCAAATATTATTCAACAATGTAAAAGAGAAGACCTCACAACTAATTGCAGTGTACATACTGCACACAACAAAAATAGGTTTTTTTTTTTTGTTTTGTTTTGGGAGGGGGGGGAAGCCTTTTGACAGCACAGATAATTCAAGGTGCAGAATTCTTCAATAATCCACCATCTTGCTCCTATAGATTTCTAATTTCCATTATAAACAATATTTACGTTATACCTTATCCTATACTCTTTTTCATATGTGCGGATATGCACAGAAACACATTTTTATTATTATTATTATTTTTTTTTTTTGGGGAGGGGAGGGGAGGGGAGAGGAGAGGAGGGGAGGGGGAAGGGGGACTTGAACCCTTGACCTCAAGAAGGCAAAATTTTCACAAGACAAGGAGTACCATTGGATTGGACCAAAGGCCCATTGGTTACAGAAACACATATATCAAGCCTTAGCCACGAAAATTTAACCACAGTATCCTAACATCTAAAAGTGACTGGCATTATACGCAGATGAAAACAACAATAACAGTTAATGCATTATGGAGGGAAATGAACTACAGAATTTTTAGAAAAGAGTTCAAAGATGTATACACAATTCAAAAAGGAATTGTCAATAGATTCATACCTGAAATGCATCACTGAAGCTCAAAGACAATGCCTTCAATTACAACAGGCCTCTGATTCAAGATTGCCAGTTGCTAGAACTCTTGCTTTTGTATACAAAAGTAATGACCATAACTTGGCCTTTTTTTTCCTGCCTAGGTTTGTTCTATGATGTTTCCTATAGAGCAAATTTGTTTAGTGTAATGTATGTATGTTAGTCCTACAAATTTGTGTTAACACCTGACATTATACACTATAGCTTTCTTTATGTGACTGTCTGGGATTCCCCTGTTTCGTACATTATGTATATCAGTCAATTCAATTGTTTTATTTACCGAAAGAGGAAAAACATAAGATTATTTAGAAATAGCCCTTTTCAATAGATAATGCATCCTAGCCATACATCTCAAATACAGGCCATCCATAAATTTTTGCCAACATGTTCATTGGGGAAAGGAAGGGAAGAAAGAGGATGGTGGTCTTATGCTTAAGGTGTTGCAAGACAAACATTTTCAGGTCAAATGAATTTTGAAACCTATTAAAATTACCTCGGATTCATCCATTGATTCTAATCAAGTAAAAAAAGAGGAAGGAGAGAAAGTTACCTAAGGAGGGCTTCATCGAGGAGGTCCTTTCGGTTTGTTGTCGCAATAATAAAGATGTTATTCAGTTCTGTTGTGCCATCAATCTAAACATTTACATCAATTGCTGCTCAGGTTAGGACACAAAAACTAGAAAGAAATGCAAAACCTGAAAAGAAATTAAGAATCTGACCATCGTTAACAATTGATTCACAATCTTATCATCATGATGGAAGGATCCAGCAGCCGCTCCTCTTTTCTGCACATAACCAAATTTCAAACATCTTGTTGTTTATACATACAAAATAAAAAGTTCTTTCCCTTATTGTGAAACCTACATCCAAGACAAATTCTAGACCACATGAGGCTAGAAAAGAACAATCATTGCACATGTCCGCTTACCTTTCCAATGGAATCTATCTCATCAAAAATAATGACATGCAAGTCACTTTTAGAACCTGATGAAAGAATAACAGGAACTCAGTATGATGTGTAAGAAGATTGAATAAATTTCTTATGAAAATTACGTATCTTATTTTTACCATATTGTTTTTCATCTTTCTCAGCAGCATCAAATAGTTCCCTTATTTGCCTCTCAGATGCACCATACAATTCTTGAGTGATTTCTGGTCCACGTACAATCTAAAAGGGTAAAAAGTGAAAAGTTAGAGTAAGACAAGATTTTGAAATTCATCGGCTACTATTGTTATTGTGTGTGTAAGAAAGAGAGGATGGAGAGGGGAGGAGTAGGTAGAGAGGGAGAGAGATACCAGGGGCTCTTTTGCATTTAGTAACTTGCAAATACTTCGAGCAATCAATGTTTTACCAGAGCCTGGTGGACCATACAGCAGCATCCCTTTTATGTGCTTTAGATTCAACCTAGAATTTAATAATTTCCATGATTAACAAAATAACTTGGGTTACTAAAGAAGATTGACCTTTTAGACAACATGGTACCAGAAAGCATTGTAAAAATTTATTAAACAATCTGTTAACAGCATTGGTAAAAATTTGTTAAACAATTCTCAAGCAGAGGAAACTCAGGGAAGAAGAAGCAAACATGTGCAATTAAGTGTATTCAAGGAAAATCAGAAGAAAAAACTCAAGTCTGGACCTAATTATAGTCACAAAGGCCGATTACTCGAACCTACATTCCTACATCGCAAATTGTTTATGTCAGAATTTAAAACCCTAAAAACAACCTTTTGAATGCAGCACCCCATTTAGGGTCTTCCCCGACTCCCATGATCTTCAAGTCCAAAGAAAATGAATTTTGAAAACTGAAGGCATCTCATGCCTAATGTTTGAGCGGAAAACTACAATCTCTTAGGTAGTTGTCACCTCCTAAGTTGTCAATCAATCCAAAGCTAACACAATAAAACAAGAATAGAATATATTTTTTCTTGCCAATATTTAAGGAGAGTGAAGTAAATAAAATTGTAGTCCAACTCTCTAAAGAGCTTAGTCTCCCTAATATATTTCTGCAATTCTGATACTACTTCATTCTACTGCTAATACTACTACTGATGCTGTTACAAAATTCAGCCTGAACAATTATGATCTTAATATTTCACATATAGGGGGATTTGAGGTCCCACAAGCTTCATTGTTTAGTAAGATAAATGTATCTAACATATGCTTTCCAACACCAAGAAAGAGGAAAAAACACAGTTTGCAGACTATGAAATCAAATTTTACCTCTTTGCAGTGGCGGGTGATACCATTCGGGAGCCAAATGCAAGGCGAATAATTTCACGGATCTGTGAGGTCATCCCCCCTATGTTTAGAGATATCAGCTCTTGTTCCAGAGAATTCATATCGAAACCATCACGAAAAATGCTCTTAATTATTTTGGCTCCAATGATCTGTTCGCTCTGATCAATCATGACAAGTTTTATATACATTATTCTACAACATGATATTCAACTCCTAAAGATATATTGTTTTACACCAAGAATAAAACAAAGTGGACTGACATTAACTATAGATTATAGCCTATGATTTGGCAAAATAGGATCAATACAACAGACCCCAAATAGTTGAGAAAAGTCTTTGTCAAATGAATTGAGTGTTGTCGAAACAAGCAAACAAACAAACACACATAGGTATTTACTTATAACAGTTGGTTATGTCAGGAACACAAATCAGTTGATGAGATACAACATGTAAACAATCAGACGTGATTGGTAACGTTTTTGTTTCTATGGTTTTCTTTTATAAAAAAACAAAATTAAGTTTTATTTTTTTATGATAAAAATTAAAATTATAAAATATATTTAGTAGTCATTTATATTTAAAAAATTGAGAAAACAAAAATATATTATACCAAAAAAATCACCACCGAAACCCCACCACCCAACCCCAATAACCACCCAAAACCACCACCCAATCCCACCACTTTTTTTTTTCTTTTTTTTTATTTTAAAGAAAGAGAAATTTTATTTNCACCCAATCCCACCACCAAAACCCACCCCCAACCCCACTGACCACCCAAAACCACCACCGAAACCCACAACCCACCCCCAACCCCACCACCGAAACCCACAATCCACCCCTACCACTGAAAACTACCACCACAACCACCCCACTGACCACCCCCAACCACCGAAACCCACCCCCACCACCACTGAAACCACAACCACCGATGTAGATCTATGTGTGTATATATATATATATATATAAGGAAAAAGAGGGAAACGAGCGAGAGAGAAGAAGTGGGTTTCGTCTTCGTCTTCAATTTCATCTTCCATTTCTGCATCTTTGGCTTCTGTTCAAATGAGAGAAACCAGAGAGAGACTTCGGCTTCTGTTTCAAAAGAGAGAAACCGGCGAGAGGGAGAGACAGACGAGGAAAAGAGAGAAAAAGAAGGAAAAGGTGTTTTATACTTTCAACCAAAAGTATTAAATTTAAGGCGTATTTAGTAACGTTTTCGTTTTTATGATTTTTTTTAATAAAAAAAACAGAATTAAATTTTATTTTTTTTTTGTAATAAAAATTAAAAATATAAAATATGTTTGGTACAAATTTATATTTAAAAAATTATGAAAACAAAAATAAAAAATCTGTTTGGGATTATACCAAAAATTCACCACGCAACCCCCACCACCCAACCCTACCACCGAAACCCACAACCCACCGCCAAAGATTTATGCTCGTTCATTGTCATTTTTCAATTCACCACACATAGCAAGCACTCCTTCCAGTAATGCCAAACACAAAACCCTAAAATCATATAATCGCCATAAATAAGCTAAAACCCTCATAATCAGTATAATCGAATCCAAATAAGCACAAACCCTAACTGTAGGTTCCAATTTCATCGTTCAAGCATCAATAATAAAATAATGCAAAAGAAAAGAAAGATTTACCAAATTGAGTAATGGTCTTCCTTTCTTTTCATATACTACTTGCTGGGTGGTTGATTTCATCATCTATAATTTTGTCAACAGGTGGAAATTATTATCAATTAATTACTTCAATTGTTATTTTCTGATTTTGGGTTTTTTGTTGGGTAGGAAATGACACCCACGATGATTGGAAAAATGATTGGAGTGGTGAAGGACCATACCAGCATTGGAATCGCGAAGGGGCGAGAGGCATTGACTGCTTTTCTTCTCTGCTTTCCTCTCCAATTCCTCTCCTCTCGCTATTTGATCGGCCATTTTCGAAACTTCTCTGTCCTCATGTAGTGCTGCAGAGAAGAAATTGGAGAAGAACTTGCTGGTAATCGAAATCGATTTAGGGCTTCTTTCACTGTGTTCTGGAGCTCCATTCTTTGATAAGGATATCACCAGGGCTTGGGCTTGGGGCTTCGTCTTCATCGTTGGGAGAGAGAGAGAGAGAAGCGACAGACGGGTGAAATTGAGAGGTTTCTTATACCAAAGCAAAAAAATTTTTTTTTTTGCTTTCTAAGAACGATCGAAGCCGAGACCTAATTAAAAGACCACGCACGCGTTTTTTTTTTTTTTTTTTTTGATGTGTCTATGTTTTAACCTTGTTTTTAAGACGAAAAAATAAAAATAAAAATATTCACCAAATATATATATATAATTTTTTTTATCATAAAATGAAAACAAAAAAAAATAAAAAAAACACAAAAACAGGTGGTTAGCAAACGCCACCTTAGTGTTAACAAGATTCGAATATAAGACTTCGTTAACTGAGTCACATGTTTTTTTCTTTTTGATATTTTCAAAAGTATTATTTTTGATGTTTTTATATTTTGACCTTATTTTTAAAACGGAACAGTAAAAAATAAAAAATAAAAACACATCTCAAACATATTATTAATTTTTTTAGCAAAAAAATAAAATAAAAAACACAAACTATCTGTAACCAAACGCTACCTAAATTATAGAACCGTAATGTTATTGCATGATTCATTGTTCGCTTCATTTACCCAAAATAAATCCCTTTGCGCATTTTACATAATTTGAACCTAGACTTTTACCGTACAAAGGGTATGTACATAAAAAAAATCCTATGTAAATAGGTGCAGTGTTTACATTGGCTAAACAATCAAAGGAACTATTTTTTGTCTCAAAATGTAAAATTCATCAGTTCAACTATATAATTCAATATACTATTTTGTCAATCACAGACCCTATATTAAGTGGGAGTCTACATTGGGCTGGCTGATACATCAATTATATATTTAGCTTCTATGTTCACACATGTTTGGTTGCTCACTTAAGGGAACCAGAGAAATAAAGAAATAGCAAGGTTTGGAAAATTAAAAGGATCATAAAAGATGGGACACCAAAACCCTCTTCTATGTAACTACTAAGAAAATGAACGAGCTTCAAATTTTGTTTGTCGTTTTCTCATTTTTCGTGAGGGTGTAAGATAAAATCTAAGACAACCACCCTTATAGCATATGGCCTTGCCATTATGCTATGGTCACGTTAGCCACAAAGATGAATTTAGAACTGCCCATACAATTTCTAACATTGGAATATACAATGAATGATCGGAGCTCAATAAAAGGACGTTGAAAGCATCCCATTTCTATTTCTTTGTGACGTGCATTATAGATAAATCAAATAAATCCTTAATGTAACTACGAACATGATGCAATGCAATCTGATCCGTTGAGCATAAATGGAACTCTTATGACTCGGGCAAAAGTGAAAAGGATGAAGAAAGCATTGAACGGGCTGATTCAAGACATATGGACTGATTGTGCAAGTTCAAGCATGAAGAGTGCATCTGTAGGCTTTTCTATCGTGGCATGCGTGGGCTTTAAGGGAAAAATGCCTCAAGTTTATTTTAATATAATTCAATTCAAACAAACCTGATTAAGTAGCTGTATGAGCTTATTTAGGTTATTTAAGGATTTTGGGCTGATTACTTGTTTTAAGCCCAACTTTAATTATTCCTATTTAGACTAGAATTAGTTTTAAGGTTTTATATACACATATAAGACCTAGAAAAAAGGATAGAATATTTTTTTTTATGAGTTTTGTGAGGTTTCTACTTTATTGTTCTTTCAAGAACTATTCCAAGAACTTATCAAGAATTAATTTTTCTTGTGGCATTCATTGACTTATCACTCAATCCTATGTGTGGCGTCTTTCTCTTGAACTTTTAACCTTGAGTTCTTGTTTCTTGAAAATATTGAGTCTAGGGTTCTTAGTTCTTATAATCTAGTTTGTGAATTTTCTTGAGGAGTCTTCAATCAATTTGTTCGTGGGTTCTTGAATTCGTTTAATGGTTCGCATTAGAACATCTGTAAATTATAGAAGTCATAGCAAGTGAAATCCTCGCAAAACAGGAAGGCTAATGGTAAGACCCCCTCAGTGCAAAACAGGGGACGTGTGATTATTTTTTGAGTAAATTATACTTAGATTCTCTGACATTTGACTTTATTATACAGACATTCCCTCATATTTCAAAAACTACACTGAAACCCCTTGATATTTCAAGGTGTGTAACGGTCACACCCCTTCTGTCTAACGGACGTCAAATAAATAACGAAATAAGATGACATCGTCAACAAAATTTGATATAATACCCTAAATACCGTTCTGGCATGTCATACTCTCTACTAAACAAATAAATAATATTTGAAAACACAAATATACACGTTAGAATGAAGTTAATCTAAATATTTTTTCATACAATTTAATTAGATAAATACTTATAATTTATCCAACACCATCGCCACCACTACGGTGAGTTTTGGAAACCATCCAGACACTAACCACCACCAAATCATCATTTTCTCTCTCTTTCTCCTTCAACGCCATCGCAACCCAATACCTAGACCTCTAGCCGAACCTACAACCACCCTTCCCAAAGATTAGATTCCACAGCCAACTCTTTTGCAAAATCTGTAGCTTCCACTTAACCAAAGCCCCCAGCCTTGCCTACATTCACTCTATCCCTTTCCCCACGTAGTCTAACAAAGTCGCAACCCTTTCAACCAGTGCAACTCTATGCAAAACCCACGAAGAAGAATTAATCAAACACCTAGCTCACCACCAACCCTAGATCTAAAAACTCCAAGTCTTCGATCATCAATCAATCCTCAACTCTGCTCAAGCAAAGGAATTAGACATGGGATCTGATCCCAGATATGTTGTGTATAGGTGTTGATTCAATTTTAGATCTACAATAAAACCTAGTGTGTGTAGAATCAGATCCGCGATGGATTTCAGTTTGGGAGAAACGGTGATATCGATTGTGGGTGGGTCTCTTTGGTGTTGGAGGTGTTGGTTGTTGGATTCGCTATTGCGTTTGGATTTCCAGTAGCGTTAGTAGTGGATATTGGTAACAGTGGGGGGAAGAGTGGGGTGGTGGGTGCTGCGTTACTGGGTGTCAAGTTTCTCACACAAAGAGAGAGAGAGAGATATTTGGGTAATGGGTTTGATTTTTCTAATTTTTAATTAATTAAATAGATGGTTGTTGGATTCGCTATTGCGTTTGGATTTCCGACAAGGTTGATAGTGGATAGTGGTAAGAATGGAGAAAGAGTGTGGGTGATGGGGGGCTAGTGTTGCGCCACTGAGTGTTGTGGTAGAGAGAGAGATGTGGATAATGTGTTTGATTTTTTTTAATTTTTAATTAATTATATGTAGGGTAAAATAGTCTTTTTGTTAATACCGTTAACAACGTCTATCTATTGGGGTCTCAGTGTAATTTTTGAAATGTGAGGGATGTCTGTGTAATAAAGCCAAATGTCAGGGGATCCATATATATTTTACTCTTATTTTTTTCACAAATTATAGTGTGTACCTTTTTGACAAATCACAAATGAAGTCCCACTTCCTCCTAAATCCCTCCCATTTATTTGACTTGCACTGTTTTCATATGGTATCAAGTACCATGTACTCAAGTGAATTGCACATATATAACAGAGCAAGACATATCCAGGTTATGTGAGTATACCATAGAACTAGAAACCTCCACAATCACTTCTGTTGACTTGCGGAGCATCCCTCGCTTTGGGGCAGGGGAATGTTTATCCTCAGCAACAGAAGCATCAGCAACCGTGCAGTGATAGATATTGCCGCCATATCTCAATAAGATGCTTTGAATTTCAGTAAAAATCTACACCTTGATACAATTATATTAAAGACAAATTAGATAGATGTAGCTGAAGCAAACAGATAACAAATTGAAAAAAAAAATCACCTGCTTGTTAAATGTTTTCACAAATTCTCTCACAAAATTGGAAGCTAGAACCGGTTGATGAGTGGAACTTCCATCCAGTAAATCCACCTCAATCCTCAAGAGTGACAAATCAAGCCCCTTTGACGGTGGAACAAACCTAAAAAAAGAAATCAACATATATATATGATAACATAAAATCCTCAAACAAATTACATTTATCAACACAGCATCCATAATTACTGAAAATACTTACACTTTTATGTTAACCTCATCTCCGGCTGAAATACCAAAAAATTTACTGCACTCAGCGTTTAGGCCAAGTTGGCCCCTTTCGATGCCCTCGTCCTCTGTATTTTCTTGGTCAAGATCAACAGTTGACAAAAGAGAGTTTTCTCAAAAGTAAAGAAAAAAACACTAATTTATTCCAAAAAAAAATAAAGGTCCACTGCAACAACCCCTCAAACATGAAAAAAAAATTCTCCGCTATCCAGAAAACTGAAACACAACATTCTCTGGCCACCAATCTTCTTCGTCTCTGCATCCCACTAATCTTTACTCACTCCATCCCTCCCTCTATCGTAAATGGGTTCTTAATGAGTTAGATCAGAGAGAATTCAAAGGTAAAAGAGAAGAAACAATCCATCATGAAGTGATAAAAAAAAAAACTATTAAAAGGATATCGTATCGAGACAACCAACGTGTCATTCAATATCGCCATATACAGTTTTTTGGGTCTACCCAAAATTCGCCCACTTGGTATCATGACAGCAAACTCAAGGATGTCGGCTGCGGACATGAGAGCAAAATTCGTACACACTCTATCATCAGTCAGAAGGGTCATTCTCATTGGTTTTGAACAAGCCATGATATAACAATGCAAAACAACAAGAAAGAGAGAAAATGGTGGTGGGGATTCTTCAAAAAAAATTTGTAGAGGGAGTGATTTAAAGCGGGTGTTGAATGTATAGCGACACGAGTAATGGTGTTCGGGTGGTGTTTTGAGCAATAGTATGATAGGTACGAAGATTCTTGGTAGGAACTCTATTTTGTTCTGAGTAATGGTGTTCCGGTGGTGTTTTGAGCAATAGTATGATAGGTTCTTGATAGTGACTTTTTGTACGAAGGACTCTTTTTCTTTTTTTGTTTGGGGGATAGGTGATATTTTGGACAATAGTGATGACACATTTTCGAAATACTTCAAGATGAA